TTTATGTATTACAGCTTTGCATAATGTGTTTAGTATTTGCTCTTTTGTACATATCGAAGAATTAATGATTGTATATGTAACTTTTCGAATCTAAGCATTGATGTTTTATTTTATAGTTATCATGGCAAACCTGGTCAAACTCGAATTTGAAGCTCTCGATATATCCGGAAAAAATTATATCTCATGGACATTGGATGCCGAAATTCATTTGGCGGCAAGGGGATTGGAAAAAACAATAATCTCCCCAAATGATTCATCAATACAGGATAAAGCTAAAGCAATGATATTTTTGAGGCATCACTTGAATGAGGCATTAAAAAATGAATATTTAACTGTAAAAGATCCTGCAGATCTCTGGAAAGCCTTAAAAGAAAGGTATGATCACCAGAAAACGGTGATTCTCCCCCGGGCTCGTTATGAATGGATGCATTTACGCTTCCAAGATTTCAAAACTGTAAATGAGTATAATTCAGCCATGTTCTGCATTTGCTCGGTATTGAAATTATGCGGAGAAAACATAACTGATTACGAAATGCTGAAAAAAACGTTGTCCACGTTCCACGCTTCAAATGTACTATTGCAGCAACAATACAGAGCAAAAGGCTTTGTAAAATATTCTGAGTTGATTTCTTGTTTGCTGCTGGCTGAACAAAATAACGAGTTGTTGATGAAAAATCATGAATCTAGACCCACGGGGTCTACTGCGGTCCCTGAAATAAATGCTGTAATATCTAAATAGGGAACCGGAACTGAAAACAGCCAAACATATGTGCGTGGAAATACCTCGGGACGTGGTCGGGGTCGTGGACGTGGACGTGGCCGTGGCCGTGGGTATGGCCCAGATCGCCGATTTGACCAAGGCTTCAAATTTCACCGAGGGTATAATCGTGGACGAGGCCGTGGTTATGCCCAAAATTTTGAAAGAGGGAGAAATTTTCAACCAAAATTTGAACAAAATAATGTGACGGAAAATAATAATGAAAATGCATGTTATCGATGTGGAAAGGCGGGACATTGGGCACGAAACTGTCGTGCTCCGAAACACGTTGTTGATAAATATAATGATTCCCAGAAATCAAAAGATAAAAATGTAGAAACTAATTTTATAGTTGGGGAATCCTCTGAAAATGATACAACACGTGTGGATGATGACTATGGCATCGATGACATGTTGAACCTGGATTTTGCTGATGCGGTATTTGAAGAAAGAGCTGGAAATGACCAAGAGAACAACTGATGATCCTGTTTTTTTTATTGCTTTCTAAGTTTTTTGTTGTGTTTGCGTATTTGTACTAGTTGTATATGTATTTCAAATCTGATCAATAATAATGTTGTTTTCTTTTAGATCATGGATCGGTCTCGAATCCAAAATGGAGATATATGTCTTGCAGATTGTGCCACTACTCATACTATACTCAAGGACAGAAAATATTTTGTCAACTTGAAATTAAATAAAGCAAAAGTAAACACAATATCTAGAAATGCAAAGATAATTGAGGGTTCTGGAAAAGCCATATTTTTTATGATGGAGGGTACAAAGTTTACATTGAATGATGCATTATTCTCCCCGAAATCAACAAGAAACTTGTTGAGTTTTAAAGATATCCGAATGAACGGATACCATGTTGAAAAAATGAATGAAGGGGGAGTTGAATATCTTTGCATTACCTCAAATGTTGCGGGAAATAAATGTGTTTTGGAGAAATTGTCAGCTTTATCATCGGGCTTATATTACACCCGCATTTATATTATTGAAACTTATGCTGCAACAAAGTCACAGGCGAATGAAATGTTTAAACTTTGGCATGACAGACTTGGTCATCCTGGCTCGATAATGATGCGAAGAATTATTGAAAATTCTAGTGGACATCCGTTAAAAAATCAAAGGATATTGCAAACACGTGAATTGACATGTGCCTCATGTTCTCAAGGGAAATTGATAATAAGACCATCACATACTAAAGTCGGACATGAATCACCGTTATTTTTGGAAAGAATTCATGGTGATATATGTGGACCTATTCATCCACCTTGTGGTCCATTCAGATATTTTATGGTGTTAATTGATGCTTCTAGTAGATGGTCTCACGTGAGTTTGTTATCCACTAGAAATGTAGTATTTGCTAAATTGCTTGCCCAACTTATCAAATTAAGGGCTCAATTCCCAGATTATATTATCAAAAGGGTCAGACTGGACAATGCTGGAGAATTTACATCTCAAGCATTTAATGATTATTGTATGGCAGTGGGAATTGATGTTGAGCATCCTGTAGCACATGTTCATACTCAAAATGGTCTAGCAGAATCATTGATTAAACGACTGCAGCTTATAGCCAGACCATTGATAATGAGAACAAAACTGCCCACTTCAGTATGGGGACATGCTATTCTGTATGTAGATAATCTAATTCGCATAAGACCAAGTGCACACCATACATACTCGCCATTACAGTTGACATCTGGTCGAGAACCAAATATTGCACATATAAGAATTTTTGGTTGTGCAGTGTATGTACCAATTGCTCCGCCCCAACGTACGAAAATGGGGCCTCAAAGAAGGTTGGGAATATATGTTGGATATGAATCTCCATCAATAATAAAATATCTTGAGCCAAAGACAGGTGATGTTTTTACAGCTCGGTTTGATGATTGTCATTTTAATGAAGAATTATTTCCCCCTTTAGGTGGGAATGAAAAGTCAATTGAGAAAAATATTGAATGGAGAACATCATCACTATCATATCTTGATCCTCCCACCAAACAAAGAGAGCAAGAAGTTCAAAAGATTATACATCTGCAGAATATTGCAAATCAATTGCCAGATGCATTTACTGACACAAAAAGGGTGACAAAATCACATGTTGCAGCTATAAATGCCCCTGCTCGAATTGAGATTCCAAAAGAAATGACAAATGACGATGTGCCAAATGAATTAAAGGCACGCTTGAAACGAGGAAGACCAGTGGGGTCTAAAGATAAGAATCCTCGAAAGAAAAGAGAAATTCAAGACTCGAATTTGAAAAGGAATCAAAATGATGGAAAAATTTCGGAACAAAATGAAAATATTGAAATATTCATCAATTACGTAAATAATGGGAAACTTTGGAAGCGTGATGAGATCATTGATGATGCTTTCGCATATATGGTATCACAAGAAATTGACAAAGAAGTTGAGGATCCTAAACCAAAATCTATAATTGAATGTCAGAAAAGACATGATTGGGAAAAGTGGAAAGGCGCCATTCAAGCCGAGTTAAATTCGCTTAATAAAAGAAAGGTTTTTGGACCTATAACCATTATACCCAAAGACATAAAACCTATTGGGTACAGATGGGTTTTTGTCAGAAAAAGAAATGAGGAAAATGAGATCACAAGATATAAAGCTCGTCTTGTAGCACAGGGATTCTCCCAGAGGCCTGGGATTGATTATGATGAAACATATTCCCCTGTTATGGATGCAATTACTTTCAGATACTTGATTAGTTTGGCCATCCATGAAAACCTTGAGATGCGTCTTATGGATGTTGTGACTGCTTACTTATATGGGTCGCTAGACGCTGACATTTATATGAAAATCCCAAGAAGGAATTAGAATACCCGAAGCACTAAAGTCCAAACCTAAAGAGTTATGTGCGATAAAGCTGCAAAGATCATTGTATGGCTTGAAACAATCCGGGCGTATGTGGTACAATTGTTTGAGTGAGCAATTGCTTAAACGGGGATACATAAATAATCAAATATGCCCGTGTGTTTTTATAAAAAGATCACAAAATGGAGTTGTGATAATTGTTGTATATGTCGATGATCTTAATATTATTGGGACTACAAATGAAATTCAAGAAGCAGTCACTTTATTAAAGGGCGAATTTGAAATGAAAGATCTCGGACAGACCAAATATTGTCTCGGCTTACAAATAGAACGAGCCCAAAATGGGATATTTGTCCATCAATCTAATTACACTAAAAGAATACTGAAACGATTTAATATGGACAAGGTTAATCCACTTAGTACCCCAATGGTCAATCGAACATTAGATGTTGAAAAGGATCCATTTCGACCTTGTGATGAAGATGAAGAAATACTTGGTCCTGAAATACTATATATGAGTGCAATAGGGGCTCTTATGTATCTTGCTAATTGCACCAGACCAGATGTATCTTTCGCTACCAATTTATTAGAAAGATATAACTCGGCACCTACGAGGAGACATTGGAATGAAATCAAGCATATATTCCGTTATCTCCAAGGGACAATCGATTTGGGACTGTTTTACTCTAACGATAAAAAACATGAAATAATCAGTTTTGCAGATGCAGGATATCTCTCAGATCCCCATAAAGCAAGATCTCAAACTGGATATGTTTTTACGATTGGCGGAACTGCATTTTCTTGGCGCTCCCAGAAACAAACATTAGTTGCGACGTCTTCCAACCATGCCGAGATCATTGCACTTCATGAAGCAACTAGGAAAAGCATCTGGCTCAGAAACATGACTCAACATATTCAACAAACCAGCGGACTATCGAACAATAATGACCCGACGGTGATATATGAAGACAATGCAGCATGTGTCGCTCAAAAAAAAAGAAGGATACATTAAGAGTGACAGAACTAAACATATCCCGCCAAAGTTATTCTTATATGCGCAGGAGCTTGAAAGAAACAAACAAATCAAAGTTCAATACATTCGATCAAGCGATAATGCAGCAGATTTGTTTACGAAGGCGCTTCCGACGACAATATTTCGAAACAGTGTTTTCCTAAACGGCCTAAACGGACCGTCTAAACGGGTTTAAACGGTAGACGGTGCCTGACCGCACAGTTTAGGGGGTAGTCGGACTTCTAAACGGTTGACCCGTGTAGACGGTCGTAGACGGGAAAAAACGGGGTAGACGGCCTAAACGGAACGGGTCCTGGGCGTTCGTAAACGGCGTTCAGCCCGTTTTTTGACCCGTTTAGGCGATAGAGCTGGCCGGCGCGAAAAAAATTCCCCATATATATGGCCACGGGGCTTAGGGTTAGGAAAAAAATTCCTAATCGAGCGACGGTGCTCCTCTGCCCCGACGAGCGACGGCGCACGTGCCCCTGCTGCTCCGAGCCGCGCCCCTGGCCTGCTCCTCTCTCCGACGTGCTGTCCCCTCTGCTCCGACCTCCGACGCGCCGTGCCCCTCTGCTCCGACCTCCGACGCGTCCCTGCCCTACCTGACCTCAGTCGTGCCCCAGCCTCTGACGCGCTGCTGATCTGGAGCGCTCCTGCTCTGCCCGCCCCTGTTCAGGTAATGTTGCTATGTTTCCTCTGTTTCCCTGCCCAAATCCTTCTTGTACAGTACTGAAATTCCAGTAAAGTGTTGTAAAATTCTATGTTCTGCTATGTCCTAAAATTCTGCCATGACTTTACTTTGCTAGGTTCATCTACTGTTGTCAAAATTGAAATTTCAGTAAAGTAGGTTTAAATCAAATATTGTTCTATTTCTGTACAGAATGTCATCAGGTGCATCAAATTCAAATCCTTCTGCTGCCGTTGAGAAATCAGTAGCCCTTAAAAGAAACTCTGAGGACATAGGATAGGATTATGGAGTGCTAGTTGATCCTAATGACTTGAATGTGATCAAATGCAAGCTATGTCCTAAAGTTGTGAAGGCAGGCATTTATAGGTTGAAGTTGCATATTGCCCAAAAGAGAGGACAGGTCACACCATGCCCAAATGCCACACCTGAAAACATAGCAAGGTGCAGGCAAGCTATTGAGGATTCTAGCAAGGCTAAAAAGGCTAGGTTGACGGAACAGCAGGAGGTTAGAGATAATGTTACAATTGATGTTCCATCAGATAAAGAAGATGAAACAGGGCTGCATGAAATTGGAAGCTCATCACAAGCAGTTGGTCCTATGGACAAGTTCACAAAGCCCCTTGATGCAAGTCCTTCGAGTAAGAAGATTCAACCCAAAATAAGCGAGCATATAATGAAGGAGAGACTTCATAAATTGAAGAGATATATTGCAAGGTGGTTGTATGTGAGAGGTATGTGATGGCAGTGTGCCATATATATATTCAGTTCAAGGTTACTAGCATTAGTTCAAGTTTCTAATCTTGTTTGCTCTAATTTTCAGTTATACCTTTCAATGCCATCAATAACGAAGAATTTGATCAGATGCTTGAAGCTGTTGGCCGCTATGGCCCTGGTGCAAAGAAGCCTTACCAACATGAGCTGAGGGAGAAGTTGCTGCATGAGGAAGTTAGTGATACAAAGGAAATGTTGAAATTACAAGAGAATGAGTGGGCCAAGAATGGTTGTTCCATTATGACTGATGCTGGACAGACCAGAAAAGGCGAAGTATAATGAATTTATGTGTGAATTGCAGCATTGGTACAAGTTTTCTTGAATCAAAGGAGGCCTCATCTGAATCCCATACAGGGGAATTAATATTTGACTATGTAAACAGCTGCATTGAGAAAGTTGGAGCAGAAAATGTGGTCCAAGTGGTCACTGATAATGCCTCCAACAATATGGCAGCAAAGAACATGTTGTCTGTGGTGAGGCCAAACATCTTTTTTAGCTCTTGTGCAACTCACACCATCAACTTGATGCTGGAAGGTATTGGAAAGATGAAGAAGTTCAAGAGCATAGTTGATCAAGCAAAGTCACTTACTATCTTCATTTATGCACACCATAAAACATTGTCTTTGATGAGAAAGTTTACAAAGAAGAGAGACATCATTAGGCCAGGCGTGGCCCGCTTTGCTTCCAATTTCCTCACTTTACAAAGCTTGTATGAGAAGAAGGACCAGCTAAGGATGATGTCTCAAAGGAATGAATGGGAGAAAATAAACCAAGTCAAGAAGACTGCTAAAGGTGTGCAAGCCACAGCCACATTAGTGAGGCCCAATTTCTGGAATGGTGTTTCTCTTTGCTTGCGGGTATTTGAGCCATTGGTCAAAGTACTTCGCATGGTTGATGGGGATATCAAGCCATCAATGGCTTTTCTTTATGGAGAGATCCTAAAGGCTAAGGAGGACATAAGGGTGGCTGTAGGAAATGTGGATAGGTCTTGGACTTTGTACAATTCCATCATTGCAATCATTGATGAAAAGATGAAGGATAGGCTGGATTGTCCATTGCACAAGGCTGCATACTTCTTAAATCCGTACTATAGCTATAATGATCCAACTATCTTTGAATCTGAGGAGGTCATGGATGGGTTCATTTCTGCTGTTGAAACATTTTATCATGGTGATTATGACAAGCAAAATCAAGTGTTGAATGAGGATGTGCACAAATTTAAAGATCAAGTTGAACACTTTTCAAAAAAAGTTGCTCTAGCTGGTTGTAAGGACTTTGAATTTAGCCCAGGTTTGTAGTCTAGTAGCTTACTGATTACATTCATATTTATAAGTGATTTTCAGATCTATAATAATGAATTGCGTAGCTAATTTTCATTCTTGTGCAGCCAAATGGTGGGGAAACTATGGAACACAGGTTCGAACATTTCAGAAGATGGCTATTAGAATCCTCTATTTGACTTCAAGTGCATCTGGTTGTGAAAGGAGTTAGAGTTGCTTTGAAGGGGTAACACACTAACATTGCAAATCTGATATACTTTTATTTCTTTATTTAGTTCTCCACTTCACTCAATCTTATTTTTTTATAGATTCATACAAGTAAAAGAAACAGGCTCACATGTGAGAGGTTGGAGCAGCAGCTTGTCTTTGTTCGGTTCAATAATCTGCATGCTGACAAGAAAAAGAAGGCACAAAAAAACAAGAAGATGGATCCTCTTCTAGCAACTGAAGCAACACATGCTCAAGGCTGGATAGTGGAAGGAGAAGATGATGAAGACGCCGATGTTGAGCCTGTTACAGGGCTGACATGGAAGCTTATTGCAGAAACTTGTGGAGCTAAGGAGGTCTCTAAACTTCGTAGAAGTGCAAGGCTGAATGAAACAAGAGAGATTGAAGACGATGTCCGCTCAGAACACGAGGAAGAACAGCAAGCATATGAAGAAGAAATTGAGTTCGAGTCCGACCAAGAGGATGTGGTCATGACAGGCTACGGGGAAGAGGAAGAAATTGATGACTGAATTGGCTCTTTATTTCTTGAGCCGCTACTATCAGTTTACCTTTTATGAGTCTATGACAACAATATATTGTCATTGTGTTGCCTACTGGCCTTTCATGTTTCTGTTTGTTCTATGAACTAGAACTACCAAGTACCAACTATATGTCCTTAATTTCGTTGGCATGTTCTATGGCTGTGTGTAACAAACTATGAACTTAGAACCTAGTCTGTTTTAAATGTGTTTGTTTATGCCATTGTCGTGTTAATTTCTGGAACAGTTTTGACTTTTGAAGTTCAGCAGTTTGGTTTCCTGTTAAATTTTACTAACAATCATCTTATAAGTTATAATCTGCAGGCACATACATTGCTGAATTTGATATCACAGAGGGGACATCGAGAGAGAACCGGTCTACAAAAGGTGTGCAAAATCCACATTCTTACTAATTTATGTTTTTCAAAATGCAAATTCTGTGCTACAGTAAAAAAACCGTTTAGCCCGTTTAAACCCCGTTTAAATCGGTCTAGACCGATTAAACACTAAACTTTGGGTCACCGCCCAGCCTCCGTTTACCGTTTACGAAATCATTGTTCATTTCTAAATAAAAGTTGATTTTCAAAATCATGTACTTCTCCAAAATGATGCTAAACTATTTTTAATATCATCACACATTACATACACATTACATAGAAGTACATACTCTAAAGTAATTGTGCATATTTTCGAGCACAATACACAATTAAAATTGTAAATGTTCCTATTAAAAAGTTACAACTTACTCAAACATTCAAAAATATTTTGATCAGAATCGAACATTCCCTTTTCAGTGTTATTTATTTGGAAGATAGACAAACTACATAACCTATTGTTTGCAATCATTAACTATTTTGGTTGTTGCAATGATTTCAGAGTTATTTGTCTTAATACTTTCCCAATCGATCGAATTTGTAATATTGAGAAGCATATCACTTTGTCAAAATATTTCAGATGAGAAGAATTTGAATTATATTATATTATGATACTCTTAGTCATATGAATTTTATTATTATGACAGTAGTTATTAAAGTTTGTGGTCCATATTATGATAATATGGAATAATTATTTATGATTATCAATTTCTTATGGAGAAAATAATTTAAATGCTAGCTAAAAAAAGTAGTAAGTATAAATAAAAGATTTTTGTTTCTTGAATGAATGAATATTGTGCAACAGGAAAGTGTGATTTGATATATTTATTATCTTTTCTTCAGAGTGTGCGTGAGTGAGCGAAGACGTGAAGGATAATCCCCTATATTTTTTGAGATTTAACGTACGCAGGTGGAAAACAACATAATGATCGTCGTAACTTAAAAGGATTTAAATAACATGTTACAAACTCAACAAAAATATATAAAAAATTAAGTCCCTAATAATAAAAAAAAAAAAAACTATATAAGAACATAATGTATATTATAGATGCATGAGTTATTTTATCTATTTATAAGGTTCAAGAGTGATTTTTTTTCATTTTAGTTTTGAGTTTTCATAAGTAACATTCATACTCATTGGAGTCCAATACATCAATAATATTGCAAAATTATTCTTAATTAATTTAGTAAAATGTCTACTTTATTCAACACTTAGAAATACTTTAGCCAAGCATATAGTCAAACTTCATAATTGAATGATCATTATAAGGTATTTCAACTAACATTTCATAAATATCTCTGTGAAATACCAACTGCGTCAATAAAATTCTTGACTTTTTTTAATCATTGTATAAACTATTACATTACTCTCTCTCTTCCTCTCTCCCCATACAGACAAATTGGTACCTATCATATGGGGTGGGAATGAATTTCATTTCTAAATAAAAGTTGATTTTCAAAATCATGTACTTCTCCAAAATGATGCTAAACTATTTTTAATATCATCACATTACATAGAAGTACATACTCTAAAGTAATTGCGCATATTTTCGAGCACAATACACAATTAAAATTGTAAATATTCCTATTAAAAAGTTACAACTTACTCAAACATTCAAAAATATTTTGACCAGAATCGAACATTCCCTTTTCAGTGTTATTTATTTGGAAGATAGACAAACTACATAACCTATTGTTTGCAAATCATTAACTATTTTGGTTGTTGCAATGATTTCAGAGTTATTTGTCTTAATACTTTCCCAATCGATCGAATTTGTAATATTGAGAAGCATATCACTTTGTCAAAATATTTCAGATGAGAAGAATTTGAATTATATTATATTATGATACTCTTAGTCATATGAATTTTATTATTATGACAGTAGTTATTAAAGTTTGTGGTCTATATTATGATAATATGGAATAATTATTTATGATTATCAATTTCTTATGGTGAAAATAATTTAAATGCTAGCTAAAAAAAGTAGTAAGTATAAATAAAAGATTTTTGTTTCTTGAATGAATGAATATTGTGCAACAGGAAAGTGTGATTTGATATATTTATTATCTTTTCTTCAGAGTATGCGTGAGTGAGCGAAGACGTGAAGGATAATCCCCTATATTTTTTGAGATTTAACGTACGCAGGTGGAGGACATGTCCCTAGAATATGTTTAATTAAAAATATTAGTATAGAATGGGGGTATTAAATTACAAAATTGACATTATAAACATGATAAAGTAAGGTTAATTTAGGTATATCAAATTTTTACAGATTCATTGGCTCTTTTATAATAAGATATAGATAGATTGTGTTGAAAAATTTTCTTCTTCTTTTGTAATTCTCCACATCTACACGATGGTTTTGTAATTATCTCTACTATCAAGCATTAAAGAGAAATCTTTTCTTGATAATGAGAAGCCATTAATCTAGTTCAAAGCAAGTTATCACTACCTCCTGACGAGCGTAGTCCCGGAGTTCATTCTCCGACTGACTATTCCACAAGCCTTGTCCTTGAAGCCATTTCCTAAAACGCACCACTGGATCCTGAGCCACTCTCCACCATTCAATTTCTTCAATTGGACGGTATTTAGAAGAGTCATCCGACGTGGAGTGGTGCCCTGCTCTGTATGTGAGGGCCTGCCGACAAAAAGATAGACCACCCACAAAAATGTAACAAAAATCAACTCTAAAAGAAGCAAGTAGCGATAAATATTCAAACCACCTCAATTAGAACAGGCCTAGATTCATGAATTGCCATCTTGCGTGCCGCACGAACTGCAGTGAACACAGCAAGGGCATCATTACCATCAATACGGATACTGCGAATACCATAACCTTGGCCTCTAACCACAATACCATCACCTGTCCAATATTCATTTAAGGATTCAGTGGAAGTGCCCAAAAATTGAAAAAAAAAAAAAAAAAAGAGAGAGATTTGGCAAAGCAAAGGTAAAAGGTAGTGTTTGGCAGATAACATACTTCTAAACTGATCACTAACTGGGGTGCTGATGGCCCATCCATTGTTTCGGCAAAAGAATATAACGGGCACCTCCATAACAGCAGCAAAATTTAACCCGGCATGGAAATCTCCCTAACAATTCATCAACCATAACAAACAATATTACCACACAATCTTCAATTTCCTTATTTTAAAAATTTTGAACTGCAGTCCTAGAAATAACAGTTTTAAAATCAATTTCCTATTTTAGCAGACAATGTAATAGTCTAGGTGTATACTAACCGTGCTGGTGCCCCCATCTCCAAAATAAGTAATTGTACAAGCATCTTTCCCGTCCATCTTTAGTGAGTAAGCAGCACCAACAGCATGTGGAATTTGGGTACTGTGGAAAGGTTGGCTCACCACAATTTTCATGGGCTAAAATTTGGAAATAGTTTTACTAAATGTTATAACTGATAAATGGCCTTGGGTAGAACTCATCCCCAAAAGCTAGCTCAAAAGGAGAGGGTTTCCAACCCTCACTTATACATAATAACAACCCAGTAACTAATCGATGTGGGACAAATACAACTTCTAACAAATACATATTGATATAGTGATCTTACGCAACCGTTGAAGCAATTGTGATGTAGTTAAGCTTGTTGGATCCGTAATGGGCCGGCATCTGCCTTCCTTTGCCATTGTCGCCTTTGTTCCCAAAACACTGGTTTGCAAAGTCTTGTAGAGTAAATCCCCTCCAAAGCAAAACTCCAGCCTCCCTATACTGCAAAGCCCATTACTATGATTATGCTGACGCTGCAAAGTAGTCGGAAAAGAACAGAAAACACAATGCTGAATGTTTTAGGGGTACAGTAGAGATGGATCGTGTATTTAGTATGGCTTCATATCTGTCTGTCTCAGTATGAGTTTTTGTGCTTCTGATACACCTAAAATGTGAAGTATAAAAGGAGTGTTTGCAGGAGCTCATGCTTTGGCACAAGTCAAATGAGTTTTCGTGGTAGAAGCTAAAAGTAGTTGAGAATCGTTAATTGTAATATCAGCTAGAGGATGAACTCAATAGAAGTGTGACAAAATAGTTATTAATAGTTTTAGTGGCTTAAAAAAGTTAAACCAGAAGCAAAGGCAGAATTTTGAAGCACCCATCCTTTGCTTTTTGATTATTACTAAACTATGTGAATTTTGATAAGAAAACAGTATTTCTTCCTTTTCCTTTCTCCTACAACATATGCCAAATCAAAACTAGAAGCTGAAAATCACTTTGTGTTTTCTTTGTTCTTCTACCTTTTTAATTTTTTCTGATAACTTTTTTCCTTTCTTTTTCTATCGCAAAAGTCCAATAATGGGTTTCTTAATATGATTATTTAACCTGAGGAAAGACAATGTCATCCATGCTGAGTGCAGCAGCAGATGCAATGTTAATGGCTTCTTCTCCAATTGCAGTGACATAGAATGATATTCTTCCTTGTCTCTGGCTTTCATAGAAAATGGTGTCCATAGTTTGAAGTCTAACCATGTCTCTATACATCTTCACAGCAATGTCCTTGTCTATCTGCAGCTTATTATTAGAAGAATATTTTCCAACTGCATTTTATTTCCATATAAGGTCAATTATACGCAGCAAAAACAAGAACAGCAGTATAATAATAGACCTGCACATAGTCCCTGCTTATCGGTAGACCATTGTCATCAAGAACTCGATAGCAATGAACCCTTTCCTCTCGAGACCACGCCAAGAAGTTCAGTTCTGGGGTAAATTTAACTATTCCCCCAGGAAAATTCAGTAACTGGTATAAATTAAGAAATATGTCATTACTAATTAATTAGCATTGTTGTATAAAGGCGTAACATTTTATTAAAGGAGCAGATTATCGACAAGTTAAAGAAATCTTCAGTCAATTTGGAGTTCTCACAAGAGTTAAGTTTCAGTTTAAGAATCAATTCAACAAATGAGACTTCTCTTTCATGTAAGACTGAAAGCACAAACATATCTTGGCTTGCGTGGATATTACCGAAGATTTCCAATAATACAAGGCCGGCATGAATTACTAGTTATGTATAACCGGAATACAACATTTTTGTTTCTTTTACGGTATTGGAGATGCTAGAAAGCAATGAGTTGGAGATACAGTACAGTTAAAAACAAAGAGAGAATAAGAATAAAGCAGCACACAAATTAGTAGCTATTCCAAGAATCTTGCCCCCCCATGTTTGTACTGCTATTCAACCATAAAACCTACTAACCAACTATTTTAAACACTGAATTAATCTTCTTTGTCCACTATGACCTGCTAAAGTATCCTAGACACGTATTTTAAGCACAATTGAAGTTGAAAGAGTAGCCAATGTGAGTCAGAAATTTCAGATAATCTTTGATAAATTCATCAACCCTGATCATCGAGGTTTCAATTTAATTGTCATATAAAAAATAGCACAATTAAAAGAAACAAAGAGGAGAAGTTAGAGAGAATTATAAAAATTGCATAAACTCGGAAAATGTGATATAAATCTAATATAAGCGAAAACAAAGAGTACCTGAGAATCACCGACGACCTTGTGCGGAGAACACAATCTATTATCAGCTTCAACAGAGCATAGGCGGCGAGTGGAGAAAAGAGTCGGCCTATTATCACACAAAAATGAAGCTGGACTTTTTCTATTTTCCGACAAAGAGCGCTTATTCTGTAACGAATTACCACTCGAGGAACTGAAATTCGTGGTTCCCAGAAAACCCATTTTCAGTTTCATGATTCTGGCCGATTTTGATAAGTGAAGGGCCATTGGATTTCAAGAAGGTTCGGCAAAAGTAGGTTGAATGTGAGCTCCAGAGGAAGGGAGAAGATGACCAGACTCTGGTATTCTGAAATAAATTGCTAGTGCAAATGACAAAAGGAAGGAGGCAGGCTACTTCCTTGGCTACGCTCGCTCCGCTACGGTCACATGTATCAGCCTACCTCCTTCCTTTGTTATTTGAACTAGCAATTTATTTGGCTAAGAATCAAATATATCATGCTAGGACAAAACATATTGATGTGAGGTTCCACAAGATTAGGGAATGGATTGCTTCTGGTGATATTCAGTTGGAGAAAGTTCATACTGAAAAGAATGCTGCTAGAATGCTGCTGATATGTTGACAAATACTGTTACTTCTGACAATTCAAGCATTGCTTGGATTTGTTGAATGTTTCTGCATGCTAGAGTTGCATGGTACCCCCGACCTGCTTGGTGTCTCGCAGAGGTGCTCGCTATTGTGTTCTCCTAAAGAGGTGATATATTTGCCAAGGTGGAGATTTGTTGGTATGGCTCATATATTGACAAAGGAAGGAGGCAGGCTGATGCCAGAGCCCCCGCAGTACGGTACGGGGTATTTAAGTAAATTAATACCTTGTAGGGTTATGATTTAAATACATGGTGTATTGATGTATTGAGCACGATTCATAATAAAATATATCCCTCAGCCGCCGTGGACGTAGGCAAATTGCCGAACCACGTAAATCTTGTGTTGTTTACTTTCTCGTTTTTACTTCGTATGCCATATTGTCATCTTCTCTCAACAGTTGGGTAGAGTGAGAAAACCAGATCTACAACAAAAAACGAAGCGAAGCGCAGTTCAGTCATAGAGATACTCAACCCAAAGAACGTGGTGTTGAATGAAATGGCTAAAAAATTCAAAATTATAATTTCATTAAAAATATTAGAGATATCCACATCAACATGTCACGTCACCATCCATTCACCTAACACACACACAACACACGACACACATACAACACACACACACACACACACACACTCATTCAGCACCAACACACACAGAAACACAAATAAAACATGCCCACACACAATCCACACACATTCAAGTAGTTAGCTCAGGTGTGACCCGTTCAATGGAACTTTAGCTAAGTAACAAGGTTCGACCTTGTTAGGGAGTTTGGTGGAGTAACTCAAGGTGCGAGTTGACCTAATGAAGAAGTAATGGGCCGAGATTCTCAGGGAGCTCGGACGGATAAGGGTTCAATATGACATTGAGGTCATAAAGGTGAAGATTGTGATTTCGGCCTGGTAAGCGCTGCGACAGATTAGTCACGAGGTCGTTGAGATAGTAGTGCAAAGAGACGGAACATAATCCTAATAAGGTTGACAAATGTATCTTGCTAAAGAGTATAAGATTTTCGAGACGTGTTATAGTAGGAAATGTGATATGGTCTTCCTAGTAATGATGTTACTTGGACAAGAATATAACCTTCATATCAAATAGGGAGATACCAGGTTCTAACTTAGTGACACATATTATGCATTTAGCATATAGTTTTGGAATATTCACGAGCTAGATCTGACTTGAGTGTTTTGGTTTTCCGTTGGGACACTTTCTTGGCGTGTTTTGCGGGTCACCGGAGCTCAAGACGAAAGACTGTTCGTGGTGGTGTCTTAACCAGTGAAAGGAATTTGTGTATCATATAGCAATTCTTATTTATGCCTATTAATTTGATTATTATGCAAACTTCATAATAAGAAAATATTAACATTATCCTGACATATCAAATTGATATCCATATTGCATGCATAATATAAATAATTATATTTTTCTTTGTAATAAATATTAATCTATTTACTTATATTAATAAATAATAATAAAAATAATTATCAACTAAATATTTATCTATAAAACTATAATATGACATAAATTTAGATTATCATAATATAGAATGAAAGATGTGCAAATGACAAGTGTTGATTTAAATATAAATAGTAGAATGATTATTAAAATATTTAAAATTTTAATAAAAAATATTCTCTTTCTTATTATAAATTTAGACTTTTATAACTAGTAATTGTATAGTATAAAATACAGATCTTTTACTACAAAATTGCCTCGTCTTCAAATTTACCAACTTTTGTAGTGGGGCTTCAAGGATATATGAAAAGATTGCAACAACTATAGGGACGGACCCCAATGATTGCCAAATTGTTTATGGTACACGGGTGGTGTAAATCAAAAAAAGAAAACAAGTAATACCAAAAAAAAAAAAGTTTTCTCTCTCTCCATGCCCCACCTTCCAATTTAGTTTTTATATTTACTTTTATTTTGTGTGGCCAAGAACATTCGGGCTAATAATATACAATAACTACGAAGGACACACAATGCTAACGGTACAGAACATTGACTACAGTACAACTAATATTCACTTCACATCTTGTCAACGCAATCTTTGGGTTTTTAAGAAGGAATGGCTATGATTGGCAGGTGTTTAATTCTCGGTTAAACAAGAATCAGTGAAAATGGAGTAGGGAGGTCTAGGTCCTTTGATGTTTTCAGTGGGCACTCTCTTGCAACAACTCTAGGTTTCTGTTTGTTTAGACTGGTTTTTTTTTGAACAGTGGAGCATTTGTTGTAGTCTCCTTATGTTATTGATTTCTGATGGAGGTTTGTTTAATGTTTGAGTGGTGTTTGCTTGGTAATTTTAAGGTCTCAAGACTTGTATTGCTGCCTTAACGTTTGCCTGGAGTCGTTTGTACATAGATTTAGTAGATTGTTATATTCTAGACCACCTGGTGGGGTGGCTCTCCTGCTGTCGGTGACATTGAGCTCTTTGGCTCTAGGTTTATATCTTTTGTTCATTTCTTTGATATAAAATTTCCTATCGTTACGAAAAAAAATCTTGTCAACGTAATAGATGTTTGATTAGAATGCCCGAAATTTCAATAGGTTGAATTCATCGCTATGTGGTTTTTATTTTCTATGGTCATCTTTAGAAATATTTTTCCATAAACCTCACTTTTACACTTCCCTACATGCCATATCGTCCAAAACCTCATTTGTTCTGCTACACTTATAACAATAAACCCCATAAACCTATTTTTTATGGGTCCCATATGTTTCTTACTTACTTTTTATTAATATTATACTATTATATTTTATTAATATCTTATAACTATAACTCTACTTTTTATTCTTATTAAATGTACAAAGTGAGAAAATGGGCCCACAAATGAAATTTACTGGAGGTCTTGATTTCCAAACCTGTTGTGGAAACGTAAACCTTAAACTTTACCCATTTAACATCAAAATATGGGGAGGGGGTTTATAAACCTAAGGAGAACCTCCTCACTAAAGATGCTCTAACCACAATTTTCACACACATCCATGTGGGTGTGTCCGAGTGTGTGTGAATGTATGGCTAAAACCCCATGGTGGTACTACCCTATGCGGTAAGAGTGACTCTATCATTTCAATATGTTTTGGATCATTTTTCATTTGTAATTTTTTTTTT